CGTCACCGCTCGAACGAGAATGCTACTAATCAACCGACGTGACAAACTCCCGTCCGACAGCTCGGTGGCCTGACCTCCACATACGAACACACGGCAGCCTACAAAAGAGAACGACGTTTCGCAACCCGCACTGGCCGGTGCAGACCAATCCTTTCCTTCCGAAAGGCAGGACGCTCGAATCCCATCATGCAAACACAAGTCCCAAGTGGGACACACATAGTACAAGTGCCATTCCCTTGGTGCACCCAATGCTTCCTACCTAGAACTCACAGATTTTCTCTCAGGACAATGAGTGTCACTCCCCCTACTCTCATACATGGTGGTTGGTTCCTTCTCATGAGAATCTTCAAGGGTGAGCTAGTTTTCCTTGGAATCTAGCAACTCCCTTCATTTCCCTTCTCTTCACTTGTCTGTCCTTTCATAGGGTAGGATTGTTCTTTCTTGATGACCCGTTGTGTTCATATTGGTTCCTTCAATCATTAAAAAAAAAGTGCAAAGTGCATGAGCCCGCTGGGCTCAAAGAAGAAGGGGAAAACACCCATTCGGTCGGATCACTCCGCCATGGGATTTTCATTGGAACCTGGCCTAAGCCAAACACCAACTGCCTGTCAGGTAACCGGAGCCCTTCTTTCATACGAAGAGGAAGGGTCGACCTGCGACTTGCCCAAGGCTTCCCCGGACTGGCAAACACCAGCACCGGACGAAGGAGGGCTAGAGCCATTCCTCAAAGGAACGACTGATCAAGTGCATAGCATGCATTTTATACCTCTAGGCCTGGCCATGCCATGCGCCCAGCCACCCTCAAATCTGATTTCTCACAAGGGAAAGGGCAAACACAAGTCCATTTTCCTTATCTTGGGTTGTGTAAACGTCAATGCGTCGGGCGGCCCCGTCGGAATCGCAAGGGTCAATTTAACCCCATACCTGACATCTCCACCATTTTTGTAGGGCCAAACCCCGGTGGACTTTCGAGCCTTAGTCGACCCCGCTGCGGGTCCCAGTCGGCTCGGCCCGCCCACACTCATGCTCAGGGCGCAGGCCATTCGTCCCAGGGTCATCCCCACCTAGTGCTTTGAGATGGATGAGGGTGGGCCATCGCGCGAGAGAGCTTTGACATTGGGGATGTAGCTCAGCCCTCACGCCGGGTGGTAGTCTCGCTGATCGTTCCGCAACGCTGATTTTTTTTTGATTCTTTGTTGTGTTCTCATGCAATTGCTCCTTCCAATACGCAGGCAGTCTAAGGATTCTTTGAGTGTTTTCTCTTCTCTTGTGCGTAGGCTAAGCGTCATTCTTAGGCCACGCACCATTTCCCTCATCAACGTGACTATATGGCGTCATCGGGGTGTGGCGGAGCCGTCCTCCCCCTCGCCTCTACGCATCCATCGGTCTCACAATTTGCTGTTTTCCTTATTGAAGTAAGCCCCTTAGTCCTTTCGGGATCCTCATATGCATGCACACATAACATCACAATTTCCTTGGTATGATTGCACTCTCATTTCCATTCCAAGTCCTCAAGCGCAAAAGTCATTCCCATGGGTTGGCTCTCTGTCAAGGGTCTCATAGCCCCTTTGTCCCTCTTCCCTTTCACTCTTGGTGCCCAGTTCCTCTCGCCCCTATCCCGCTCAAGGCATTTCTAGCCATCACTCACCTGCACAATCCCACACAAGCAAGAAGATCCATACAATCCCCCGTTGGGGGTCAACACATAGACCTTCCCACATGCCTATTTTTTCAAATCCTTTGGCTGCTCTTTGTTCCCTCTTGATGCTCAATCACCCCATTCTCTTCTCATAGTCATGCAGTCGGGGAAATGGTTGAGTCAAACTAACCTCTCTCTCAACTTATGCTTCCTTCCGGATCCCGCCTTTTCTCCCACTTTTTCAAACATCCTTTCTTTTGCCTTCTTGGTGGCACAAGGGACCGGCTATCCTCCCCTTGTCCTCTTTCTCCACCAAGTGAGGTCTGATTTCGGTCACCGTCCGTACCCTGGCAATGTTTCCAAGTGAGGAGAGAAGGGTTAGTTATATGCCAAAAGAGAGAGAGAGAGAGAGAGAGAGAGAGAGAGAGAGAGAGAGAGAGAGAGAGAGAGAGAGAGAGA